AGTGCATATATGAAAATTTTCTGTGCGACAGAATTCTAACTCTCTGCTATTCTATTTATTCGAAATTGGTTAGCAAGACAATAGATTTTAAGTTCAAAAGACTTTGAATTTTTTTCCCATAATGTTACACTTTTAATAGCTGATGTTTATGCATTTTTTTTTTTGGTTTTTGTATAAATGTTTTATAAAAGTAATTATATATGTTTGTATTTAAGAATATATACAAGCATTTATAATTGGATATTGAATATTTATCAGGCACAAAAAATTGCAAGGCAAAAAAAAAGGCTTGTTTATATTTTTTTTAACGATTGAAATATTTTCAATGTACAAGGAAATTAAAAAATTTTTTTTATTATTATTTTTTATTTCTTTTTTCTTTGCATCTTTATAAAGCAATTCTTGTAGTGTTTAAATTCGTAATTTTCAATTTTACGGTTTACTAAAAAATTAATTTGCATATTAAAGAACAAAAATAATCGAACTTTTATGAAAATTAAATCTATTAATATACAAAAATAACCTAAAATATGCTTGCATTAAACTCTTAGCACTCTTAGTAATAATATTGTAAACTAAATCTGTAACTATGTTTTTAAAAAATTATGTACACGAACAACATATTATTATTTACATTTATACAACATATATATATACAACATAAATATACTTGTCATTTTGTTACGGGAAACTTCCATAATAATATTATTTATTTAGAGTCCATGTTGGATTTTTTATGAAATTGGATAATTATGGGTAATTTTACAATATGGGTATAGGTCTAGAAATAATGAAACTTCACTAAATACAAAAATTATCGAACGCACCTTTTACACATTACCTTCGATTCGAAGTAATTCGAATTTCTTTCGAAATTGCAGTGTATTACACGGAATGATCGCCACAATATTCAATTTATGGGGGTTATAAATTTGCTGAATTTTGTTACAATTTGAAGATGCGAGGTTTCACTATAAAATACACTAAAGACTTTAATTTTTTTTCTTACTAAGCATGTATTCCAAATATTATAGTTTAACATTATGTGTTGGTTTAATTTTGGATTTAAATTGGCGAATACATTAGACTTTATGTGCATCATCATAACTATTATAAAAATGTTGTAATAAAATATAATTTACTACCTTAAAAAAATAAATAATTAAATGAAAGTGATCTCAATTTAACATTACCGCACCAAACTATTTTTTGCATAATGCCATTTTTCCATCATTATACAATTGGCATATTTAAATAAATTTTTGTTATAAATTGAAACTTATTTTATAACTCAAAGCATTTTTACTTATTTTTTGGTTAAAATTTCTCGTTAGTACAGATTGACAGCCCAAAACTATGTTACACGTAAATACACTTCGTCAAATTTTAGTCGAACATTAATTTTAGATTTTTATATAACACAAAATTTTTTATGAAAATTGGCTGTTGTATATAATTTCCCCATAAAATTTAGAAAACCTAAATATGAAGTAGTAAAATCAAATAAAGTATAACGATGTTAGAGTGCAAAGATACGCCAAAACTAATTTCGAACGGTCAAGAGCAACATCGAAGTAGCAATAAAATGACTATACTACAAAAACTGATATATTGATGAGACGCAAAATATGCTAAGTATACATTAGTTAGTTTTAGAAATTTTAGCCTTACTATATAGCCATTTTATTCTAATTTCATTTTTTGTGAAAACTTTTATTGAAAAAAACTTATTTGGAGTCAAAAACTAGTTTAAGTGGTTCAATTAGAACAAAGCAAAGAATATAAATAAAATTATAAAACAAAAATTCAAAATGCTTTCTAGTAAAATTTTTTAATTAAATACTTAGCATATCTTTGCGCTTTTCTATCAATAAGCAAGTGTAAAGGATCATAAGATTAATTCTACTATTATTTTTGTTAGGGACAATCATGAATTATTTTCTTATGATAAAATTTGATGTGTTTCATAGGTATAAAAAAATATTCGAAATTATTTAGCTTTGCCTTTAGTAATTTCTAAAATATTCGCATAATTATAAAATAATCTCTGTAGTTTAGCATTTCAATGGGATTGTATTTTCTTACGAATAAATTTAAATAATTTAATACTATATTCAATAAATTATAACGTAAGATCGTCTTGAGGAAGTATAGTGAAACATCTGAAATAACAAATACCTGATTCTGAATTCACACTCCTACCGTTACATAATATACTCTTCATGTTTATCCAATAATAACAAAACATCTATCTAGAATTAAGATTTGATCGTGACTTAAAATTTTTTTTTTATTCATAAGTATACATAAAAACAAATAAATGGTATGTATGTGTTTTGTTAAATTGAAAATTCTGTTTAATTTTTATTTTTTTTTTTGTTTTCTTAAATCTATTGTTATAAATGCTTATAAGGTTTATATTTTCATTAATTTTAAATTTCGATAAATTTTCCATTTTCCAGATGATTTTGTGTACATCCAGATATCTGTGTTGCAAATTTTCAACAAATTCAGATCTATTAAGACATTAGGGTTTGGTCTGAAATAAAAAAAAAACAAAAAAAAATTGACACTATAATCTTTAAGTTGTTCATTTTTTCTTTTGCTTCACGATTTTCACAGAAATGGCCTTGATTCGAGGAAAAATTGTTAGAAAATATAAAAACAAAAACAAAATACAAGAACAAAAAAAAACTGAATAATTGCCGGTGGGTTTTTCAAACATTTACTCTTTTACATGAACACACTGAATTTTTATTTTAATAAAAATAATTACACACTATACATATATAAATATGTAAGTGACTAAATATGATAAATTATAAAATCGTTTAGATAAGCGATTATTTGTAATGAATACTACAATGTATGGATGTATGTACAATATTGCATTTTGAAAATTAATAATTTATTAAATTTTTAATGAAATATGCGAAACCTGAAACATGATTAGAATTTCATATTTTATTTTTAATAAGAATATAAAATTAATATTTCCTTTAATTGAATTCTATAATAATAATATAAAAAGGCGCTACATGTATTTATTAATAAATAAATAAAAATATTAATAATGCATAAGCGCACAAACATACCAAGATGTTGTGGGCAATCTATTGTAGTAGTAACGAGTTAGAAATTGAGTATAATAGAAGTATATTGCTGGAATAATGTAAATGTTATGATGTAACTAATCTTATATATAGCTTGAATAGAGTGACATAAAATCGCTTGACTAAAATCAGAAAATGAAATAACTAATTTTTAATACTTAATCTTGGAATCATATTACACATTTCGTGTAACGTATACAAGATGTCGTAAGCAAGCTTTTCCGAAAATCAATTTCTGTATTTAATGATAACCTATTTACGGATCAATGAATTTAAGGTCTTATCGGGTGCTTCGATTTTTTCTTACCAAGTGAAATAAAAGTGAGAGGATCATATTATATTTATAAGTATATGGCCTGTTCGTGTATCTCTCTCTTTTATTTTCCAAGTAAGCAAAAAGTGGCTGAGTATCGTATGTTTCTGTGATACAGTTTTTGAGTGAAATTAATTTTTTCGTATTGCATATCCGTTTTTTCTAAAATGTACACATACAAAATTTAGTCATCTCTTATGTATTCACTTTGTTTTTGAAGATGACAAATTCAATTGATAATTTGAGAAACAATACCCAAATCCTATATAAAAAAAAGTGAGAATAATCATAATGGGAGAAAGTCATATACGTTAGAAAAAATGAAAATTCTGATTTAAAAATGAATAAAAAGCTATAGATGAAGAGAAGAGGCGGGAATTATGAAATATGACAAGGCTGTAAATGTGTAAATCTATTAGATAAAGAAATGTGCACCAAAACGTCTTCAATCTTTACAGTTCTTCAATCCATGAAAACCTTAATAGCAAATTATAATTTAAAAAAATTTCCAAATCAAAAATATAGGACATTCTTAAATAATAATATAAAAACAGAGAATGGATTACCCATTCTGAAAAAGAAAACATTTTTTTTTGCATATTTTATTTAAACTATTGCCATATTTTTCCAAATGCCTAAAGCAATGTTTACAATGTTTGACTTATTTGACACTTTAAAATCAACATTAGAACCATTTATAAAACATAAAATGTCTTAATTAATTTAATTCGGATCAAACCAATGCTTTGTAAAGTAGCACATTTTTATTTAACAAGCGAAAGCACTCTAAAAAAACTTTTATTTTAACTAATTTCAATAATATACCGAAATGTTCTACATTTATTATCAAATATTATGAAATATTTTCTAACGCTTAGACATTTATCATTAATGCTTTAACTTGAAAGTTTTGGAAAAATAACCCCGAGAATTTCGAAGGACAGAAAGCTTGTAAACAGATTCAAGAAGGGCAGAGTGAAATTAATTATTACATTTATTTTTAATTTTGTTGGAAATATACTAGAATATAAAATTAATAAATGATTATTTCAACAAAATGGAGAATAAATTTATAAGTATGTATAAGTATACAATAAAAATGTCAACAAGTCTAAGAAGCCGAAACAGGTTTTTTGAAAAATAATTATATAATAAAAAATATTGCTGAATCAGACTTAATTTCCAATTCATTGAGAGGTTGTCAAAAAATAACATGTGTATGAGATTTAGTATTCCAGGAGTCCTTATTGCTCTTAAAAAAAAAAAATTAGGCTGAAATCAAAATTTTAGACTATTAAATATTTTGTTTTTAACATTTTTCTAGATGAAAATTGAAATGTGTTGGAATATTAAATATATACGCCAAAAAGGTTCTTACAGTTAAAAAAACTTTTAGTAATGCAATAAAATTAGGCTCATTTTTATTTGTGAAAATTTAAGTGTTACCAGAGTATCATCCAAATTTTTAATCAACTTGTATTTATTATTTAATTCAAGTATTTTCATAAAGTTTTTACAATAAAGCTTCTGAATAATTTTCATTAATTTCTCATTTATTATTTATTTTGTTTTAGAGTTAAGAAATGAAAACTTATCACCTTCTAGCAGCAACATTTTTAATATTATGTAATTTCTCCCTTAACTATGGATACAATATATTAGCACTGTTCCCCCATCCTGGAATCAGTCATTTCTATTTTTTTCAACCGCTTCTGAAGGAGCTAGCAAGGAAAGGACATAATTTAACAGTTGTTAGTAATTTTCCTGAGAAAAATCCGATTAAAAATTATATCGACATAACTCTTAGTGATAATGTCATGAAAGAAGACATTGAATTGGGAGTAAGTATAGAACTGTATGAATAGTTTCTTAAATTTTGTTAAATTTTTTAATTTTTTTTAGATTTTCGAACTTATCGGAAAACCTCCACCAATTGCAACTTTTTTTAAAATAAATAGTTGGGGTCTTGAAGCATGTGAAATTGCTGTTAAATCGAATGCAGTGCAAAAAATTCTTAATCCAGAATCAAAGTACGATTTAGTATTAATTGAACAATTTAATAATGATTGTATGTTAGGTATAGCCTATTTAAAAAATGCACCAGTGATAGGTTTAAGTAGTTCTAGTATATTACCATGGCATTATAGACGTATGGGTTCACCATTCATAACATCATACATGCCTGATGTTCTTTTAGGAATATCAGAGAATATGAGTTTTGTAAATAGATTAACAAATTGGTTTTGTTATCACTTGTCTAATTTAATGTACAGGTAAATTATTATCTATGTATATATAAAATATTTATGGTGAAAATGGATAGTATTGTCGTCAAAGAAATTCAAAAACATCTTGTTATTTTCTTTCCAAAATTTGAAAAACGTTACGTTTTCCTGAGCGGATTATAGCGACTAATAAACTATAACTACTAACTTATCATTGTATATTGCGATGAAAAAGAAATGTGTGTATGTATTTATATTAATTTTATGAAGTTGGAATTTTTGAATGATATGCTATTCATTTTAACCATACAATTAATCTAAAAATTTTGGCATAAACGATTTAAACTAATGGAAAGAGTTGAATTTTAGATATTTGACACAACCAGCTACAAACAAAATTTTACGAAAATATTTAAATGAATCTCTTCCCGACGTACAAGATTTGAGTGAAAAAATAAAATTAATGTTGGTTAATCAACATTACTCCTTCTCTGGAGCAAAGCCATGGAGTCCTTCTGTTATTGAAGTTAGTGGTTTACAAATTCAAGATCCAAAACCATTAGACGAGGTAATTTATAGATGAAAAGTTATATTTGTAAAATAATAAAGTATTTTTTATTTAAATCGGCAGAAATTTAAAAAAATTCTTGATTCTTCAAAAAATGGTGTAATATATATCAGTTGGGGTTCACTCATTCGTTCAGATTCTCTTCCAATTCCTAAACGAGAAGCAATATTACGTGCTTTAAGCAAATTACAGTATACAGTTTTATGGAAGTGGGAGAATGGAACAATACCAAATTGTCCAAAAAATGTTCATATATTTAAATGGATGCCACAACGGGATATATTAAGTCATCCTAATGTTAAAGTTTTCATGAATCATGGAGGTTTGCTCGGTACAACAGAATCAATTTATAATGGTGTACCAATGGTAACAACTCCAATTTTGGGAGATCAATTTTTAAATGCAGCAGCAGTTGAAAATAGAAAAATTGGTGTAATACTACCGTTCACAGAAATAACAGAAGAGAATGTTATAAAAGCATTAGAAGTAGCTTTAAGTTCAGAGTAAATATGATTAATGAAAATTTTACATATAATTATAGGCAAAGAGTTTTGCATTTAAATATTTCTTTAATATTTTTATTTTAAGATATCAAACAAATGCAAAATCAGTTTCACTAGTATATAAAAGTAGACCGGACACTCCATTGAATACAGCTGTATGGTGGGTCGAACATGTTGCTCATATGAAAGGTTATATATTAACAGAATCAAAAGCTACAGAATTACCTTGGTACATTTATTATAGTTGTGATATTTATCTTGCAGTTTTTATAATAATTTTACTGATCTATTATTTGATAAAATTATTTATTAAGTTAATACGTTTAATAAGAAATTTTAGAAGAGAGAAACAAAAGAAAAATTAGAAGACAAAAAAAAGAACGATTTTATTTTTATTTTTGTTGTTTTAAAGCAATTAAAGTAAATTTAGTTTTTAATTTAAGAATCCGGTTGTTATTGCAAATTTGTTATAAGTTTGATCCAAATGATACTTCCAATAAATTGACTAATTCAAAAAGAAAAAATATTCAGGTAAGTTAAAATGCTTTAAATATTTTTTGTGAGTTTTTAATTAAAAGTTATAAAACTTTATTGAACTTAAAATATTAGAATTATAAAGAACATGTAAGGATTTAAAAATTAAGCCAAATAGTGTAGAGTTATAACTTGCTGTAATACTAAACTTTTTTTAAGATAAGTTTTGCTATAATTATACACATATGAAAATTTGTGTTTCTTCAGACACAAAGAGATATTTCTCTATAAGATCAATAAAATATTTTTGATTTGGTAAAACTTAATTCTGTTTCTTAACCCTTAAGTATTGAACTTTAATTTTGTAATTAAAATACGTTTTGTTTTTTTTTTAAATTTTAAAAATTTTTATTCTAAGTTATATGCACAACTAGTACTTTGTTTTTTCTTTAACAAAAAAATTTGATTATTTTTTTTATATAGCTATAAAGTAAATACTTTTTATATTTCGTTTAATAAAATGCTTTTCAGAATATAAAATTTAAATTGTGAATTTGATGCGGTTGTAAATTTTCAATTTTTATAACTTGAACTCGGTATATTACTAAATTTTTATTTTTTTTTTTTATTTTATAATAATAAACTTAAAAATTACACTTAAAATAGTAATATATATAAAACTATTAAAAAAAAATATTAAGAATTTTGTAAATCAAAAAAAGTGAATTACAAAATGTGCACTTATTAATAATGTTTTATAATTAATATACCTTTTTCTTTTAAATGTTAAGTATATTAAAATTAATAATAATTATTTATTTATTTATAATTTTTTTTCCTTATATATTTGGATTAAAATATTAAATTTTTGTTAACGATATTACCTATATATATACGGGTACAATATAAATTATAATTGTAGGTACATAATAAAATATTAAAATTCTAACCACGTTTTATAATAAAAAAAATGAAGGCACTGGAATGTCAATAATCGATATTAATGCCAGTGTTTTTTCTTTTTTTTTAATTTTACAACAATTCTAATATTTGAGATTTCTGCAACATTTTTTTTTTTGCAATAATTAATTAATTAATAAATTATAAAATGCATGTATATATAATATGTATATGAATATATTTTTGTTCTGCTTAATATTTGGTTAATAAATATAATACAATTTAAAGTACTCTAATATAATTATTAATGAAATTTTTATTTAATACCAAAATTTAAATATTTACTACACTCTAATCAATATTTGTATATAATAATAAAAAGTATACAGCATTATATTATTACATGGTTTAAATATAACAAGTATAAAATATTAAAATATGATTAAATAAAAATTTTATTTGGTTTTTTTTTTGTAAAAAATTAATTTTGGTAATATTATGCCAAAGCTGGAAGGCTATTCAAAAATTTTATTAAATATTATTTATTTTTAACAAATTGTGATTGTGAATTATCAATTCATGTAAATGATTTTCATTATTTTACATACATGCATTATGTATTTATAGCCTTATTAATACAGTTAAAATAAATTTGAACCAAAAATTTTATATTTATTTCTATTCACTTAATTTATATTTAAAATTTATCTCTATAACTAGCTATGTTTGTTTATATTGATTGGTGTTTTAACATTGATTGCGGTAATTAAATTAAGAAATTTCACAAGTTTCGCATTATTTATTTTCAATAATAGACATTTATTTTCTTGAAACTTAAGAAAAGTAATGTGAAAGAAAAAAATAACCAACTCTTGAACCATACATACATAAATATAAATATAATTTGCCAACTTTCAACGATCAAGTCAGCTTAACGATCAGAAAAATAAAATAATATTTTACTCTAAAACGATTAATTTTTATCATTTTCCTGAAATCGTGAGTAATGAAAATTTAATGACAAACTTTTGTCCCATCTTTTGTTTAAGTTATTTTGGCTATAATACGAATTGGAAGAAATCTAAATATCATTTAAACATAATTTAAGATAAAAAAACTAAAGCAAAGTTTTATATTCGAAATATTAATCATTTCAATAATTTGTATTAATTTTAATCTATTCATGTACGTACGTAAAATTTTAAAAATACGTAAACCATTTATTTTATAGTACAAAAAACGAGAACAGATTTAATAAAAAAAAGTGAAATACAACTAATATGAAAATAATTGTAATTCTTTAAGATTTTTCATCTTATTATATAATATATAATAACAAATAAACGAGCAATTATGAGAAATCATAGAAGACGACTCGATTAAATTAACATTTTTATTATAAACACGAATTTTTTTAAACCGCATGATTTAATGATTTTTATCTTATTTATATACTTAACTTAAAGCATTGTATGAGAGGCTAAATACAAAAATTAATTTATTGGTGTTATATGTAAGGTATGTACATACATAATTATGAATTTTTTATATTTTTATTTAACAAAAAATTTTTTATATAACAAAATTTTTAAATATGTATTTTAATTAAAAATAAATATTTACAAATCAGATAACATAATATAATTACATAATTAATTATAGTTAAAAAATATGATTAATATCTAAAATAATATAACTTTTTGTATCTTATTAAATAATGTTATTTATTGTAATAGAATTATGATTGACGATCTATTGTTTGAAAAAACCATTCTGTGAATCGTCTTAACTGTTGTACAGCCGCTTGACTTTCATCTTGAAGTCTTCGATTTTCTTCTGTTAATTTCCTTACAGCATATTCAAGAGATTTACGTCTTCTTGTTTCCCTCAGAATACGATCCTCAAGTTGAGTTAAATGTGTTTTAATTTCATTCGATGTATTAGTTGCTGGATTTGTATTATTTGTTTCAACACCATTGACTTCATTGGCCTCTCCACTGCCACCACCATTTACTATGTTTGATCTACTGTTTTGTTCTATATGATTTATTACTGATTCTAAATTGCGCATTACATTGTTAGTTTCTGTTTCATTCATAGGATCATTGCCTTTTCTTTGTTCATCTTGTTGAAATTGTAACATCATTGCTCTAGTTGCTGTATCAACTAAACTGGACCAGTCTAAATCATTTGGATCTGGTAGTAAGGGCAATTGAATTTGCTTATTATTGTTTTGAAGATTTCCACTTGGTTGTTCAATTTTTTTACGAGTACTTTGATTTTGAGGCATTTTTCGGAAATTTGGTGTACCCTCACTTATATGTAATACGTTTTCGTTTTCAGTAGTTTTTAAAGTAGTCGACAAATCACTTCCTGGTGTTGTACTGCTACTGCGACTGCTACTCGTACTAGGACTGTTATTATTTTGAGATATTACTGTTGCGGGACGGGCGGTTGTAAAAATAACTTCAGTTTTCTGTTCATTAATGTCATTATTTTTCAATTCTGGAACATGTTGAGTACCTAAATTGATTCCTTCCCTTGATCTTGATTTATTCTTTAGTACCATATCATCATTAGAGCATATAGAAAAGGTTGTTTTACCGGTTATAGCGGAAATATTTCCCAAACTATGACTATTGGAAATTTTTTCCTTATGATTATGAGGATGAATTGAATTTCTAATAGAAACATTGTGATTTGAATTACTGGTATTAATAATGCTGTCATCGATAGTTATGTAGTCCGGATTAATAAGTTTCATCAAATCTTCCTGAAAAGTAGTGCTTGCTGTATAATTAACACTATTTCTTTGCATAAGATGCTGTTGATGATTTCGATTATTTGCTCCATGTCGAAGTTTTGCAGCTGCAAGTGGTGGTGGCATATTGTTAGATAAAATAGCTTCACTTTGTGGTCGGGGACTGTTGTTACGACTAGAAGATGTTGATGAAGATGAAACTGTACCACTTCCACCTGAAATTTAAATTATTTGTTAGAAAATATCTAGTAAAATTATAAAAATAAAACGGTGTTAATACAGCAGACCAAATATTTTTGACATAACTTACTTTTTCTTTCAAATTTCAGAGTTATTTTGGAAAATTTTTCTACTGGATTTTCTGTACCAAAACATTTTAATTGGTGAGAAGAAAAAGTAATGAAAAGGAATTGAAAAATGAAGTTTTGATGTGTCATAAGAAATGATATAACACAACATTTACAATTCTTGTGTATGTACAATAAAATTTTTTTAAAATGAAATTGAAAAATTGTATTTTTTTAAAATGAATATTTGAAATAAGTGAATTCAAGGAGCATGATCATTAAAGTATTCAGTTTCATAAGGTTGTATTTAATATCGTCGAGAACTTAAAAATAAAAATTAAAAATAAAAATAAAACATAAAGGATTCATATCTCACAGCTTAATGAAATTTATTTATCTAAAGAAAAATCGTGATAAACCAGCATTATTTTAAAAAGTATTGACCAAAAATATCGGCCTGTATTCAACGTGAAAACTTATATTATAAAAGATATGTTACCTCTAAGTTTAGTAATATTTGTAGTAGTAGCAGATCTTCTTAATCTTGGTGAACAATCTAAATGCATTTCGTCATCTGTAGTCGGTATACTTTTGGTATTGTAAATTAATTCATTGTTTGTTGTATTTATATCCGATGAACCGGGAGGATCTACAGTTAATGTCAAATGTTTAATCAAAATTTCTGCTGGTTGATGTTGTTGTTGGTGATTTGATGATTTTGTAACTAAATATTCAACATTTGCCATTCTGGGTGATGGCCGAATATGGTCATTTGCTGTTGCTAGGCTTGAAAGTTTCGTTGGGTCATGCACAGAAAGGGGGCGACTCGTATTATTTAATGGTAGTGAGTTCGAAGCATTTAATTTTTGATGATCACCTGACTTTTGTTGAGATTTATGAATTTGTCCATTTGATGGCTTTTCAACACAATTCTCTAAGACATCGTACCATCTATCATCATTAGAAGAATGTCCAGACGAAGAACTAGTTAGAGTGCCCATATCTGGAATATGTCGAACATTATCATTTGGTATACTAAACGAGCGAGAACTACTGCCTGTACCATATCCTGAACTATTGCTTGAACGAGGGGGAGAAAAATTTCTTTCATATCGTCTTCGATGGTGATTTGATATTTGTTGAGTTTGTGCATTATTCGATGCAGATTTTTTGGGGGTAGAATTTTTACTTGGGGAATCTCCATGACTATGTTGAGATATATTATGAATTGTTTCATAGTCATTATCAAAATTGTGAACGTTAAATTTACAATTGGGTAAGATACAACCCCTTCTAGGTGAAAAATCTGAAAATGATTCAATAACTGTAACTGTTACTTGAGCAGAAGTTTTGAGTAAGTCCACCATCTGATCATGTGAAAGGGTAGCTACTGCTATTTTGCATATCTCAACAAGACGGTATCCTTGCCGTAAACCAGCGATCCATGCTTGTCCAGATGTTTCCACTTGTGTAACGACGCCATCAGGTTGAACATGAAAACCTAATTGACCCATTGGATTTCTTTTTAGGTTTAATTCAAGTGCCCCGCACCCATGAGTGACAGCTCGTAACCTTTCAATAACTTCTAATTGTTCATCTCTTTCTCCACAATCACGCATATTAATTGTTACACATTCTCCTTGATGGTGGTATATTCTTAATGAGTTACCACAAGTTGACCAACCTAAAATAGCCTTTGTTGGCGTAACAAATATTATTTGTCTTGAACATTCCTCTATTAAAACGAAAGTTTCTACAGAAATTCCCAAAAAGCAATCAACAGCAGCTGACAAACCACTATCTTGTAGAACAACTTGCCAACAAAAAGCAGCTCTCTGTATTGAATCTCCGGAAAATCTTATTTTTGGCTTTTCTTTTTTCTTCTGTGGGAAAAGAGAAAATTTTGTTCCTGGTTCAACAACGGTTGATGTGCAATAATTTGTGGCCAGATCCTTTAAATATTCCTGCCTAGTGCGTGTTGCCATTGTTGCAAATTTTTCAGATCTATGAGCTGCATTTTCCGCATTGATTACCTTAGCTAATAAAAAGTCTGCAAAAGCTTTATTGCGATGAAACATGGTAGCTAAAAATAAGAATCCAATAATTAAAAAATTATTTACAAAAAACTTTTGGTTTTACTAAATAAATATTTACCTGGGATTGGGGGTCCAAATACAGGAACTTCTTTGGAGCGGGATACTGCAACTTTGTACATTGTATTCTCTGTGCAAGGATTAATTACTCTAACAATAATAAACACATGTTGAAATTGACTTCTAATATTTTTTGGTGTGAAAGGTAGAGCTCCGGGCTCTTGAAATACTACTGTAACTATATCATTGCCAATGTGTCGTTTACGCAATAACTGTTGTCTATTATTTGGTGTAAATGGAAGCATTGTGGAAACGTGAAACATAATTTCGCAATCTTGGTAAGTTGCGTAAAGTGAATGGGTGCCTGTTGAATCCGTTTTATTATCGAGTCCAGCTTTATAATGTTCAAAACCTTTCAGTCTAACCCTTTTTCCGATAGTTTCAAGAAACTCCATAAATGCGGGTCCGGCATCTTCATTGTTATACATATCTTCTTCAGAGAACTGTGATGCTCTACAATATAAGATTCCAACTTTATATTTACTAGTCAATCCTTGCTCATCAAGTTTTATCAGTTGCTGTTCACACTGCGGTGTATTTACGCCCAATTTTAGACAATTCATTTGAATCTCTGGTGCGACATATTCTAACAGATCTTTGGTTGAAATTGGTTTTCCTGGTCCTCTAGGGTTTGGAACTGAATCTTCAATTACAGATCCTCTTAAAGTAAGTAATTCTGAAGTTCGAACAATCATTCGAAATTGATAACGGGGTACAGAGGTTGTCGTTGTATTTACATTCTCATAAAGATCTGGTAACTTTTCTTTTTTAATTGAAACAGCTACTGGTCCGAGTTGTTCGTCCATACCAAACCAGTTTTGATGTTCTTGTTGGGCAAAAAATAAACGGTAATAACGTGCTCCATGATCAACACTTTCAATAACTCTATGTCCTTTTTGAAGAGGGCATGTTGTAGGCCTCCACAAGGTTTCATTTGGAGCGCATTCTAGTATTGAAACACCATAAGCAAGGGCAGGTCTGTGGACTGCTGCATTATGACTTGATTTTTTTGAATGAGAATTCAGCATTCTTGTAAGACTGACTTCCCGTTCCTCTTCACCACCGATTTCGTTTCTAAAAAATGGGCAATTTTCTAAGAGATCATTATGTTGTCCATCACCAAAATCTTCATCAGACGAATCTCCATCTGGTGTTGCTGACCTCCCTGTGTTCATAGAGGCTGCTGAAGCACCAGTTGTTGTGTTACGACGCCTTGCTAATAATAATCCTCTTAATTTAGCTGCATAACCTAGATTTGCTGTTAAACTTTGGCAATCAAAATGAGCAAAAGCTCTTCTTCTTTGTCTCTCTTCAATATCAGCCGAAGATGTTGAAGCACTGTGAGATGACAGAATAGAATTGGTTGACTGATTCATATTTATAGAGGTAGTCGCAGAAGATGAATTTACAGGTACGTTCACATTTCCACCATTAATTGAACAGTCTTCGATTAAGATCGTTGAAGTATTTCTTTTATTATTTGAACTGCTATTTGTGTTATTTGAATTAGAAGTACTATTATTATTTTGACCCCAAAGTCTATGCAATTTATTTTTTAATTTAGGGCTAACAGGTCTTTCAAATTGATGATTTTCGTCTAAATTGCTTTGGTTTATATTATTTTTATTTTCGATTTCACCATTGGTTACACCATTTACCGAATTATTTAAAACTTTTCCTTTAAGAAATTCAGCAGGCCCTGGAGATCTTTGATCACTTCCCATTACTTGTAAAACGGCGGGACGATAATCTTGTAGCATAGCGAAAAAACTTTCGCTGGTTGTACCATTAGGTGAAGAAATTACATCAATTGATCCATGGCTACCATATTCACGTCTTAAGCTTCCATTATTATTACTGGATGATTTTTGGTTATCTGGTGAATTTTGCTTATTTTGTGCAGCATGCTGTTCATGCAATAATTCTAAACTGGAATTACTACGATATAAATGATCTGGATTTAAATAAATTCGTTGTTGCTGTGACATATGACCATGGTAACCATTTGTAACTGACCTTGAACCAATTAAATGTCTTTCATTTACAGAACTTCTTGGTCCAGCTAAACCAGCTCCAACACGTGCTCTTAAAACATTACTATTATAATATTCTACAGCATTAACAGCTTGCTCTCGTGCTGAACCAGAACGTGGACGATGTCCAATAACTTGTCCAATACCACCATTTGTTTGAAGAATATTTGCACCTGCTGTTGTAGCTGCAGCTGTAGCTGCTGCCACTGTAGTTGTTGCTGTTGATGACGACATTATGTTACTCGAATTTTTCGAATTACGTACATTTTTGTATGATAAAATTGAATTTGTATTTTGAAATTGAGACTTTGATGTTTTTGTTGTAGTCTGTTGCTTTGGCGGTGTTGTTGCACTTGTAGCAGAAGGATTACTTTTTGAATCAATCATCCCATTGTTATGATCCTAAAATTAAAAGAAAAGAAAATTTTTTCATTAATAAATTAAAAATTATTGTACAGCTTAGGCTTCAAATTTTTCATTTCAACAAATTGTTTATTTTTCTTTTGTCAGCTATAATAAAAGTTACTTAATTTTAAAAATACTAATGTAGAACCGGAAATTTTTAAATTTCACAAAAAACAACAAAATTGTCGTACTTGCGAAACCTCAAATCAAGGGTAATAAATGCAGAAAATGTAAAAATTTAGAAAGGAAATATTAAGTTTCTGTGTAATGATTGCTTGGCAATTAAACGTCAGCAGGCTCCTATAACCACATTAATTGTTTTTTACCTGTCATAAATGTTTAAAATTGAAATTTTATTGAAATTTAATAAATTTTCATAATTAAGTGAAATTCAATTAAATTCACAAAAGAAAAAACAAAAGAAAAAACAAAAGAGAAAAAGCAAAGTCACCTTATATTCAACGCAAAAACTGCAAATAAAGTTATTTTTATTGCAGATTATTTTTTTTATTTTTTTTTTATTAATATTTTATAGAGCGGATGTGCGTTTAAAAGTAAATAAAAGAAAAAAAACATATTAAAATGTTGCCAAAGGATTTTAATGTATAATTAAATAATGATAGGATACAATGAATATGCATATGGTCGCCTGTATATTTTCAGCTAAGGAAGTTGGAAAATTTGCCATTGGTTTTAAGTATTGTAATTATTTTCAGGATGTGGTTTTATCAATATTAATGTTATTTGTATGCACGTTTACATACAAATAACTGTAACACGAATAATAATAATTTTGTTTTAAAGTAATTTTTTATTATTTTAAAAATCATTAAATTAATTTGTCGTCACACGAAAACCGGCTGATCTCTTGCTTATAAGTATGTGTATACGTGTATCACTTATTACATTACTATTGTGTTATAGTTTCCATACTTTGGTGTTTATAATTATATATGCAAATATTGAAATTCTGTTCTGTTTAACAAAGTGTTAAAGAATCTATTTGTTACTTCTATTGGTTTTTCAGAAATTTTGGATTGATTTGTTATAATTTATGATTTGACTTAAACTGTTCAGCTGTAATCATTAAAATCTCATATTTCAGTAAGCACTTATTATATTTTTCTTAAAATAGACAATGTCAATGAAATTTTTAAAAATAATCAAGAAATCGTAAGGGTCTAAGAATAAGAAAGTTCTTTCTAAATTTTTATGAAAGTTTAAATTATATTAAGAAGTTGATTTTGTCTTAAATGAGTTGATAGATGAAAAAATTTACATTTCATTATGTATAAAAATATAAGCAAGTACCAAGTATCCTTGACATTGTAAATGCCTTAAAAGCAGTCTCGAACACAAAGTTGCATGATCAAAACTCTAAAACAAATGCTTATGAAAGCTTTTACATTGTCACGTGAATTTATAAGACGAAATTTATAAAATTATAAAATTCGTTTTACAATTTATTATTAATTGTACAAGGCGTCATATCTATACTTAATTGGGGGCACAATAGGCCATGTTACTACAATCTACAATTTACGTTTTCTTTTAAATTTTCACATTATTTTTCCAATTTTAAAATGCACAATAAAATTAGATTTTGATATTGGAAAATATTTTTGTTTAACGTCAAAATGTTTGCGATTTGGTAGACCTCAAATTTTTTCAATCACTATTATAAGTAATTATTTTGTCTATTACAAGCTTCTTAATCTATATTTTTTAATCAAAGGCTGCAGAAAGATAAGCAATCATTATTATTATTTAAAATACAGTTATGCAGGCTGTTGAATGCTGAGTAATGCACCGACGAAAATTAAAATTATTTCCCGCGAAAATAAATGATTTTAAAACATAAAAAGTAAAAGTGCCGAATATAATCAAGTAACTGCAAATTATTCCTAAATATTGGAATAAAACAATTAAATATTTTGTCAACGTTCAGGTATTCAACCACTCGGTTTTGAAAAAAAAAAGAATGTGAAACTTTAAAAAAGTTCATTATTAGTCAAGGTTTTCTCAACTTCGATGACATTAAGTGCTTATAAACGAAAGTTTTCAAAACGAAATTTAAATTGAATGATTCAACATTAATTTCAGAACCGGTTCATCAGTGGGTAATCATCCATTTGAGAATGACGTTAATTTTAATATGCACTTTATTTTTAAAAAAATATGCATTGAAATTTTTTTTGTAACTATTCATAACTAGGAATTAAACACAAATGTCTGTGAATCGTTTAGCTATGATTCATTCTTTAATAAAAATGTTCGTTGGTTTTTTTAGTAAGTAGCTAGTACATAGTTCAGTGATTTGAGTTTTTAGAAAATTCACATTATTTTATGGTTATATTTATGGTTGTATGTATGGGTCTCATTATTTACTATAATCTGTCTTATACGCACTATTACAATATTATAAAAAAAGGTTTTTGATATTTACGAATTATCCGCTAAAATTTGGGAATAAATTTAACTCAATTTTAAAGTAAAATGCGGTTCAAGTACTTGTAGTTACATTTGTAATAGGTATAGGTCTATAAATTTTGAATTTTTGATTATATATCTTGATTAAAACAAATATTAACATTTAAATAACTTATTGTTAAATTTGTTGTTCTGAGTCTGATGACGATCACTCTTAATTTTTATTAATATTTTCAACGCTTATTCTTTTTCGAAGATCTAATATCGCTAATACATTGTAATCAAATCAAATCATTTGATATTTTATTTAGGCAAGTTAATGAGTTTCTTCTCGTAATTATATCCGGTAACATCTAAGTTATTCTAACTATATTTGAATACACATATATTTCCGTAATTCTAAACCCCAAGTTGTTTTAATTACGATACAAATTTCAATAATGCTTACAAGAGTTTTATTAGTTAAATTAATTTTGATAGGTGTCTAACGCAAACGTAATTACGTAATAGTTTGCCTCAGATTTATTAAGTATTAATTTTTGTTTATTTTGAAATTTTAAGCCTTTAAGAAATTTTAGAATTTTCTAACTATTAATTTACTGAATCTATTAAATTCAGATTAAATTTTACAAATAAAAATTTTGATATTATTTCTACAACACCCATATTAAAACTGCTGACATAAAATTGTAAAAGTATAATAAAATTTAATATAATAATATTAAAGTTATTATTTCCGTGTTTCAAATAAGTAAGTGACATAATAAGCATAAATCAATTTTATAACCAAAGCGATAAATCTAGATATGCAGGCATATTACATAAAATTGATACGTACAGATATACATACATAAATGTTACTTAAAAGTCTAAATAATTATTTAATAGAACTCATACATATTGTGAATAGTTCAAATTTATATGCAAATTTTAGCAGCTTTATAACAATCGCTACTTAAATGTTATATAACCTTAATTGTTTCTCTTTTTTTGAATTTTTTTATTAATATTATTATATAATTTAATATACTTATTGTTAAATACAATAATATATTGAATGCTTTTTTTAATTAAGATTAAATTATTTTTAAAAATACAGTAAACTCATTTTAGTAGAAACATTTTAAAATCAGAAAAAAATTTGACAAAAAATTGTGAATTATTTTGAAGATTCTAATTCACAATAAAAAAAAACAAGCAAAAAAAAAAAGAAATTTTGCTTAAACCTACAATTCAAAGGTTAAATGTAAGAGGGAATTTTGTGCCTACTTCCTAATATTGCTCCAATGTAGTCCAACAGCTGCAATAAAACAAAAATATTTCGGCCATTCCTATGTTGTCCGATAAAGAGAGATGCTATATGCAACCCTTGTATATTTTTGGTTCGATTAAAGGTTTTTTTACTTTCCATTTACATAAATTTCGGTATTTAATGAAGCTTCATCTAGTCCATATTACGATTTCATTTAATGAAGTGCATACACAGGAAACATACCTGATTTAAACTGTCCAGAATTTAATTGATATCAAATCTATAGAAATTATTGAATATTCATATTATCGGGCGTGTACTGTTAATTGATTATTCGAATAAATTTATTGATAAATTTGGAAATAATAAAAAAAAATTAAAGGTCAATTCAAATTGCCTTTTTTTTTCTTTATTGTTTTTTGTTTAATTTTTTCGATATTGTTCTTTTTTTTGCATTTTTCAATTGATATTAAATTAAGAAACGAAACTTGGACATACTTATAAAAAAATAATTACTTAATTTTCCAAATTTTAAAGTGTTCATTTTTTTATTTATACCGTAAGAATAGAATATTTTCGTAAAATCACCTAATTGTTTTATAAAATTGAGGTATTCAATTGTTAATTGTAGATTTTAAATACTCGTATATTTTAAAGAGAAAACAATGATATCAAATTTTTCATAAAAAATTTGTGAAGGATCATCAGCAAATATTTAATGATATTGTATTTCATTGGATAATCAATCGAGATGAAAATAAAAATAACAAATATAAAGTATTGAAATATTTTTAAGAGATTGAAAAGAATGCAATTGAAAAAAGTGATTTTTTGAAAATTTAAAAACAATGGAAAATTTTTTATACTTATTCATTTATAACAAGTTTACACTGTCAATATTTTTGACAAATACTCGAATTGGACACAAGAACATTATAAGATCTTCGATACACAAACATAACACATTTTAAACAATTAAAAGTTCAAGTGTAAATTTTTTTTAACAATATAAGATTTAAGATTATAAGAACATTCAAATGCTATCCAAGTGACGAAATATTAGTGTATACTTATTGTAAGTATAATAGAGGCTTCACTTAATTGATATTATAAGAGCAACAGGACTATTTTAATTAATACAAAAATAATGCGATATAATAACGCAATAACGGTGGTTTTATTTCATGAATTGAATATTATTTTTTTCAAAAAAGATATCGTAAGACTTTAAAGGAGTCTTTAGTAATAAAATGTTAATTAAAAAGAATGGCTAATTGAAATGGCGAACTCTTCCATCATCAGTATGATCCTGCAGAACATGAGTCTATAATTGTTTTAGGCACCAGTTTTTGCAACAACATGCTCTTATACTTCAATAGAATAAATATAACGAGTATATGAGTTGTTACTCTCGGTATATAAACACTTAATGACCAAGCTAGTCCAAATTTTTAAATTTGCTAATCTAAATATTTTTATTAATATAGATTTTCATATTCTCATAAAAGTGGTAAGTGACGTTACGATATCATTATAGTTAAGGTATTTTTATACTTAATGCGGTATAAATACTACGTCACTATCGAATGACACACCTTCATAAATTAAACAAAATAATTTAATAGTTCTTTTTTTTTATAAAACTTTCAATTTTGAATTTCACTTTGATAGTTTTAATTAATTTCTGTCTCCAATCATTCTAAAGTTAAACTTATTTGCATTGGGAGGCAATTTTAGCAAAATGTATCTGCCAGGAAAATACAATTCCAAAACAAATATATATCTATGTACAACTTGCTTATGAAATATGTACTTTCCTTTAAAGAAAAATAGCATAAATCAAGGCGTAATTTCATATCTCACTTATTTTTATACCCGTACGAACGTATGTCTGAAGGGTATACCAAATTTGCCTTACCATTTGTAACGCTAAGAAATAATGGTCTGAGACATAGCTTTGTTTGTCTGTTCGTCCGTCCGTCGCAGCGATAACTCAAAAACTGAATAAGCTAAGTTCACCAAATTTTCACAAATAACTTATTATAGTAAATGCCTGAACCCTATTTAAATTGGATATGATTGGGGTACTGGTTCGAATAGCTGCCGTACAACTTCAAAATTTATTTGGCTATATCTCAGAAACTATAAAAGCTGTGGTACTGAAATTTCACACAAACGAATATATTAGAAGAGCCAATGTGTTTTATAAAATTCGTTTAAATTGCTTGACACTTTCTGATAGTTGCCTTACAACTTCAATAGTAGTTTGTCCATATCTAAGAAAATATTGAAAACACAGTACTGAAATTTTGCATAAATTAATATGGTAGTATGGAAACTTAAAGTCATAGTCTGTTCCATAGTCAGCTATGACATATTTATTCGCACATAGGATAATAAATTCGTACAAATATCAAAGAGTTGAGACGGTCAACTCTATTTTTGCTCGTTTTAAATTATATTTATAAATGAGCGAATGAACATTATAATATTTTAATTTTATATTAAACAATCAAGTAAAATAAATGTAAATTGTACACATATGCAATGTATGTAAGTGTACACAATCAAAAATGGTTAATTCTTCTGAAAATATCGGTTTGCTTTTTTGAAAAGAGGATTATATAATGTACACGTTTTGAATTAATCTTATCTAGTGTTGGATTACCTTATCTTAACTACACAATATCAAATTTTTTTATTTTTACTTTGTTTTTTTCTGAAATTTCTAAATACAATAGTTTCACGGATGAAAAAATTTGATGCCTTTGTGGCATAACAAAAGTTTAATAACACTTTTGTTCTAAGAATTATATAAGAGATAAATTTTTATTTAATTACACTATATGGCTATGGAGTTTTTTAAATTTCTTATCATTTAAAAAAAAAGGTTTATTTCAATCAATTTTAAGAAATTTAGGATAAATTCCTCTAAAAGTCATAACACATCTAAATTTCATCAACAAATTTGAAAAAGTGTGAATTTATTTTTTGATTTACTACATAATTGCCATATAAATTCTTACTCAATTGCATTTCATTATGCAATTTACATAAGGGTTAATCATTACGACAGAATTGTTGATTCTATTTTTAAATTTTATCAATTATTTTAAAGTTGAAAAGGATTAGGACACAAAATTCAATTCTTTGTTATGTTCCGAAACTTTACCGAATTGAGAAAACTATATTATTGTGTTACAAAATTTCAATATATGCAATATTACGTTTCAACTCCAATACGTATTAAATAATTGCAAAATATATTCATCTTTGAACAAGATGAAATTAATTTTTTTTTTATAAACCGAGACCTTTTTGTAAAATATACATTTGAATTATTTTAGATTAAATTATTAATAGATTCTTGTAAACCAGTGTGCAAAAATTACTTTATAATAAAGCCAAAAATTTCGGTTTTCTTTTCAATAACTTCAAGTTTCATTGATCCTTTTTTAGATTCTTTAAAAAATATGTGCTGATATTTTGTGCTGTAACAAAAGTGTATTTTATCACTCGGTTTGTTAAATACGATAATGTAAAAATTTTAATATCACTTTTTTTCAATTAAAATTTTTAGCTAGCTATATTCAATTCTAAATTTAAGCTATAAAAATTTTATTTAATTTAAGATTTATCACAAATCTAATTCTGATTTTATTATTAATTTTAATTCTCAACTGCAGTGAATTAAACAAAAGGAATTATTGTTGTTAGTTATTAAATTTAATTGACTTCATATAGAAACTATTTTTAAGTTCAAGTTCCTACAACGTATTTGAATTGAAAATATTAAGCATTGCATTAGGTCTATGTTTTATAATTCTGTATTTTGCTTAAGAAAACTGTTAGACTTAAAAATTCTATTACTTTTCTTAATTCTTACGGATTTTCTTAGCTCTAATCTAAAATATTGAAAATAAATACCTTTTTGTCTAGAATTTTTTTACTTAAAAGATTCATTGTAAATCCAGGTTAAATTGCTGGTAAATTTTTGTATCCATATAATATAGAGGCCGAATTAGTAGGTAAATAAAAAAATTATCAAAATTTCCGAAAAACAGAAAAAAAATTATCGAATTTATTGTTTTTTTTTTTTTTTAAGTGTCGTTTTATCAACTTTATTTTTTATTTTTTTATAATCAATGAATTTTTGATTTTATTTTTATCTTTCTCACTTTATTATTAAATAAATTACCACATACATACATTCATATATTGTGCATTGGGTATGTCATTTTATACACATACAATTTTTTCATAACATTTTTTTTATTCCTTTTTTATTTTTTATTATCTTTTGATTTTTGCTTTTTTTTTATCTATAAATTGATTTGTTAAGTATGGCTTTTTTTTTTATAACAGACAAACTCTTAATAAATAAATCGGAGAATGTATTAATGGCAAGGTGTGCCGAAAAACTAATTTAATTTTTTTTTATTTTATTTATTAAAATTAATTAATTAATTGTTACTTTATTTTTATTAACTAAATTGAATAAATTTTATAGAAAAAATATTGGTTTTTTTATTATTTTTTTTATACTTGTTTTACAATTACATCAACATTTGTACAAACACGTGCAATTTTAATTTTTCCAAACTTTTAAAATTTTTCTTTTCTTTTTTTATTATGTGCAAAAGTAGAAATCACAACAGTAAAATTTACACAAAAAAAGTAATAGCAAAACAAGAAAGTAAAAACTAAAAAAACAAAAAAAAAAACGATATTTGTTACTAAATGAAAACACGTTCGAATACCGTTAAAGTTGTAAGTGAACTGAGTTGGCAGTAAACACAATGAAATCTGTTTTACCTGGTTAAATAATAATAAACGAGTATACAATACAGTTATGAATGGTTACCTTTACTTTTCTCTTTATAATTTTTACGCTCTCTCTCTCAACCACTCTCTCGTTCTCTTTGCTGTATTTAAACTTGCATAAGAGTAAAAACAATATTATTTTTATAGTAGTTGTGTGCTTTTAATCTTAAGTACTTTTTAAATAGGCTGAAGAAATTATAGTAAATTTACTATATTTTTTTGAAATGTGTTTGTATATTAAAGAAAATATAAAAATTTTAGAAAAATGTAGTAATGCAATAATCAATATAATTTAATTTTTTTTAAATTTTTAATAAAAGATTAGAAAAATAGTTTTTCATAAAATTTTCCAAAAATTTTTACGAAGATTATGTAAAATAAAATTGGAATAGTACCTATAACTGGGCCCTTTTTTACCAAAAATTTTTAATTTTTTTAATCAACTAATCAAAAAATTTCGCAAAATTTCAGTTGCAATAAGAGCTTTAATCAACCACTAATAAAAAGTCAAAGCTTTAATGAACCCCTAACAAAAAAAGGCGTTTTTAAAAAGTTAAAAAGACAAAGCAAAAATAAAAGTTGCTGGTGCAAAAGACCCAGTAACTTCTAACAAAAGATGACTTCTGAAAACTAACATTTTTGACAAGGTAATGTCATGAGATAGTTTCGTATCTTATTTTCTTATTGTTCCTATTTTATTTTAGTAAAATTGTTTATTAAATTTAGCTGTTCAATTGTTCAATTTAACTAATTTAAAAATTGATTTCAGTTTATTTTAAATTTATTAAGGCATTTGAATTAATTGTCAAATGTGTCATATACTAATATGCATTAACACATGGCAATATACATATACATCATCATTTTCCAATATTAAAATAACAAAATCACTGATTCTAAATATAACTTAATTTTAATTTAAAATTTAAATTATTAATAGTAATTCAAAAAATTTATTATTATTATATGTAGGATTAAATGCTTATATAAGAGAAAAACCACAGAAAATGGTTTTATACATTATGCACCTAGCCCAAGTTCTCGAACTTTATACGTGCTACATACTTATGTATATTTAAATATGGGACTAGCAGGTGTTGATTCAAAATATATAAGTTCATATTTTCAAAACTTATAGAATAATAATATTATATAAGTGTGTCAACATCGTATTAACAAATACAAAAATAATAACAAAATTGAGAGAAAGAGATTTTTACAATACCACAGATCTGAGAGTACAGATTTTTATATTTTTTCTCAATAACAGAGAAATTATCGTTTTGAATTTTTGTGATTTGATGTGTTTGTATTAAATTCGATTTAGTGATTCTCCCGGCTTAAATATTTTTGTATCTATAGAGTTCAATGTATTTAAAGTTGAGATTAAAGAATATGATAATGAATAGCACGCACGCACACAAACACAAAAATAATATGAGTTGATTTCATTTTGTAATATTTTTTTAAACTGTGTTTGTAAGATTCTTTTTTTTTTTTTTTGCTTTTTATATTATTTTGAGAGAACTTTTTTTATTAATAATAATATATACATATGTACATGCTTATATACGTAGCACTATGTAAATAATATCATAATCGATCTATAGATTAAATTTTGCTAGAAAATAAAAAAGAGCTGTTCTATACTATCTACGTTTATAAAGTAGTATTCATACTATGAGTCATATAAAGTGCTACTACTTAAAAGCAATGTTGCCATAGAGGAAAAATTGGTATTTAATTATTATAATTAATTTACCTGTAACGTTTAGTTATTAATAAATATTGTTTAAGATTTTTACAAACTATTGAAATAGAAAATTAAAATAAAATTTGTATGTTTTGAGAAAAATATTCGAATATTTTATAATGGAAATTTATTTGAAATATAAGGGAAGAGATCCTAACATTTTATAGGGGTAGACACTTGGATATTGTTTACTTATTATACGTATTCCTTTTCCATTGACACCAATTGCTTCTTTTCTTTCAAATATGTTTGTAATTTAAGACTTTCTCAATTAGAATTATAAATCTCTTACGAGAACAATCAATTAGGGCATTCAGTCATTCTTTATAGATTTTTTTGTGAAAATGATGTCTCTAATACTCTATTTAAAAAAGTTTACAATGCAAAAAACAAAATTATTCATAAGCAAATTTTAAAGAAAATGAGAGAATTTTTCAAAATTTCCATCAGGATGTAGATTCTTCTGCTACAGGCATCACAGGGTTAAAATCTTTAATATTTTTAATTATCAATGAACAGATTTTTTATCATATATGTAAGAATGAACAGTATGTGTGAAGATTAGCATGGGTATGTGTTAATAATAGTTATAAGAAATTTTGTATATGAATTGTGAATGAATTTGCAAAATGGTCTACTGTAAATTATACAAGTTAGTGGAATTTTAATGATTTGCGTGAAATATTTTTGTTTGTGACGAAAATAAAATAAGAAAAATACCAAATTGATGAGACATAAATAATTCTTATGAAATTATTATGAATTTTTTCTTCTCCTCTATCTTTTTCTTCTTCTTCTTCTTATGACTGTTACTTTTTATACAATGATCCATAAATGGATTAAAATGGTAGCTACTTTGTTCCTGATTTTTGGTCTTAAAGAATATTAAAATTATGACAGTGACTTGATATGCCATTAGAATTAATAATTAGATAACAGTACTCAAATGACAATGTTATTCTTTTAGAGGTGAAAAGAAAATTATTTTGCACAAAATTTTTGTTTTCCATAAAGAGAAGGCTTGTATGCAAAAAAAAATGTGCTGTAAAAAATAATTACGGTTAAAAGAAATTTTTTTATGGTGTTCAGTTCATTTCAACTTTTATGAATTTATTTATAACAGTTAACAGTTTTTTTAATAAATACAATAACTTTTTACTTTTATCTCTTTTTCAATAATATCTAATCTATTAGAACTTTGAAAGCTTTGTTTAAGTTATTTTGAATTTTTTATCTTAATTGTTGGTATTTGTGTGTGTGTGTAAAACTGACATTAATAATTTTTAGTTAAATATTTTATTAGTTTTAAGTGAAAGTCAGAATTTAATTATCACATTTATTTTATATTGTTTTAGTAATAATGTAAGCACAAAATATTAGTAACGTTTATGTAATGCGAAAAGTTTTTTTTATTTTACGAGTTTTATTTTGTTGATAAGGCAACTTTATTAGTTATAATGGTAATGCTTTAATATGTAGGTGAAGTATGACTAATTTTAATGACATTGATTTGTTTTAAGGCATATTAGTATATATACAGACATATTGTATATATATATACATATAGAGTTTATATTAGTTTATATTAAAAATTTATGAGTAAAAATGAATATTTTTGAAAGCGGATACAGTAATACTCTGTGTAAATCATACGAAATGTAAAGTGTGCCTTACACTAATAAAAGTGTGTAAATACATGTGTGGTTATATTTTAAAAGCATAAATTTTTTATTATGAAATATTAAGATTTTAGAGTGTCGTTAATTCTTTTAGCCACTTTCATGAAAATTAGGTGCACCCTGATTAATATTAGAGATAGAGAATAGTCTCATTTTGAATAGTTCTGTCGTCTATACTTCATTGTTTTTCATATTGAAATAACAGGGTGGCTGGTAACCTAAAATTACTATAATAATTTTAATTGAAAAATCGAAATCAAATTTAGTCAGAGAATACAAAACTTATTGCTGATTAATAGTTAAAACTTTTTCTTTTATGATGCAGTTCGTACATTTTCGTACATTTGATGCAGTTCGTAGTTGTTTGTACATTTCAAAAATTTTAGAATTTCCCACTGCTGAACTGATTGGATTTTTTCATTATTTATTTTGTGAGTTAAAACTATTTTTATTTTGTGAGTTAATTTTAAAAAATTAAGTTAAACAATCCAAACTTCTCTCTCTCTCTCTTTGATATCAAAATTGTACCTATTTCGTCCTAAATTATTTTATTCTTCATATTTGTAATTTAATGTTCAAAATCAGAATATTCAATCTAAAGTCTATATTAAAATTTTTAAATAATTTAAAATTGTTATCCAATTAAAATCTCAAGTCTTAGACAACAAATTTTATAAATGAATCTATTGGGTATTTTAATTTTGATTGTTGATGTATAAGGCTTGAAAAATAGAACTAAAGTACTCATACTATGAAATATGTTTAGTCTCGTAGATTTTAATATGAGAAGGATCATTAGCGCAATAATAGAATTTTCAACTTAATATATACCTGAACTACAGAATCGGAGATGAGTTTGAAAAATTAGGAAAAACTGAAATTCGGGCAGAAGTAACAATCAGTTATTAAACTTTTAATGTGGAGTAACAGATCTAGCGTTTGAAGAATCTATTATTAACCACTAATTAAAATGCTCACACAATAGTTAAATAAATCTTAAAGTTGGACAAACTAACCTTTTAGATTTGGAATTAACTGACAATATCATAAAATTCTAATTAGATTTATTCTTTTTTTTTATATCAAAATGAGATCCCAATTAATTATAAATTACAAAAAAAAATGTTTAATTCCTTTTCATATAAATTCCAA